TCCCTTGAGGGTGGACATTATGTCCTCGATGTTGCGAGCTGCTTCGGCACGATGCTTTGCCATGGACTTATCCGCCGAGGTGGAATTGTCAGAGAGCATGGTTTTGGGGCCGTTGTTGTCGCTGAGGAAGGACTGGATTCGGCTTTGTCGAAGCTGCTGCTCTTGCAGGATTTGAGCTTCAGTTTGGGGGGAAGGGGTGTCCCTTGAGGAAAGAAAACGTTAGCTTCGCTGGGAAGAGGAGACCGATAGAGAAAGTAGGAGCTTTTGAGTAGGTGTGTGAAGTGGGATAGGGTGGATAATATACCCATTGACAGTAGCTCGGTTTGAGGCGGCGTACATACTGGCAATGTACTGATGTAGGTACTAGGGTGCACAGTGTGTTGGATGTGACAACAATGTATTGGGAAAGAATGCCCCGTGGGCAACAGCAAATGCAAAGATGATCGAAACACGGATTCAAAATGTGTGAAGATGTGAGTTCCCGACTGTAGAACGCCGGGACATTCATCATACTTATGTAAATTCGAAGTTGGCCGTAGTTGGAGATGAGAAAGATTCGAGACTGCGGCGATTTACCGTGCTTGAAGTCAACATACCCTTGTCAATTCTGCTGGGGCATTTTGTTGATTATCTAAGAAGCAGCAGTACTTCCTCGTTCGTATCAAGCAAATACTACAGTTTGGTATGATGGGTAAGTTTAACCTCCTGGCTGTGTACTGTGTAGTTGAAGGGCCGTGAACCACTAGCGACGAAGGTATAATTTGCCAATGGGGAGCCAACCTTATGCAGGGATTCCATATCCGTACGTTAGCGCAATATGTACGGATAGCACGGTTGTGCATTCTAGCGCACGGGGGCGGGGTTGGGGGGGGGGGGGTGGCAGCAGTGTACGGATACTTATGGCTTCCCGCAACGCGGACGAGGAGCGGAGGCTCCAGGTGACGGGCCTGGGGATTTGACAGCCTGAATTCGAAAGTGATTGTGGTCAGTTGTGATGTGCGGTTAGTGGAGAAGGGCCTGGAGTTGGGCAGCATCGGGATCGGAGCCAGGGAGAGAAAACACCCGCCTGTCAGCCCTCAGGTCTGGACGCAACAGAAAGGATTGCTTATCACGTGCGTCTTGGCGTATCTTGCTGCACAGGTTGCGTCCTTCAAACTGAGGCATTCAAAAGCAGTAGAGATAGGCAGCTACCAGCAAGCGCCGCCACCAGACATAACCTCACACACGGTCACAGTTTTGCGCGCTGACAACCTGGCCAAAAGAGACTAAGTGCAGCCTTCACCTACGTTCTATCAGCATTGAAATCACTACCTCGATGAGTCAAGCGTGGTTTTGAGCACAGTGTGATAACCTTGTCGCATACGTACCATGCCGGGCGGTTTCCTTTCCAAGCCCGATACATTTCCAGATGGTTGTTTCCGCCAGAAAAGCCGGGGAAACAACCACCATCTGAGAGCATACTAAGCGTAAAGTTCTGCAGATTCTGTGTTGCTATGAAATGAACACCAGCGCTGAATGGAAATTTAAACGATCATGCAAACGTTGCCGTCCCCTACTAGGTCTGGTGCGACCATCGCAAGACTCGTGGAGTCTTCGTTATACTGAAGTGTCTAGTTCAAATCGCCAGCATCCTCGTCAATGGCGCAGATGCGATGGTCACAAAGCAAGTATGATGAACCATCAGAAGACCCGAAATTTCAGTCGGCACTAAGTTTTCTCAGAGGAGAAGCAGATGCCTGTCATATCATGTCCAACCGTCATTAAAGTAGGGCAAGTTGCACGTTAACGTGCGGCATGTCGCGATCGGGACTGGAAAACAACGAATCGAAGCCACAACAACCTGAGCGGCGCTAGGAGGAGGAGAGCAGGTAATACTGCGTAGACCAGGCCATTAAGTTGGGCCAGCCGTTTCCACCTTTGAGGGAGTCTCCGAGAATCCCTCACATCTGACTTACATTGACTGGTGTGTTTGGCCAGATATTGCCCCATGAACTTGGGCAATCAAGAAAGTATGATCGCGTCCCGGCCGCCCCTCTTCTCGAGTCCATGGCTTGAAGGTGCCTCAGTCGTCCTTAAGTACATAGACACTGGTGCACTACCTAAAAATAAGGTGTCTCCTGCGCGGGTTCCACCGTTCCGCCCCGCATCTGAACCCAAGGGGAGCTATGGCCCGGCCTAGGTGGTGAAATTTCGGACGGAGTGGATCCTGGAACGGTGCGCGGCGGGGCTGGAATCTCCTGGGGTGCCGAATTTGCATTACTTATCTTACCTACCCTACCTACCTTTGACACTGTAGTACATACTGAGTAGGTTGTCGTTTGGGGCAATCCTCATCGGTCAACCACAGATATCCATCTTAGGTAAGGTAACTTTATTGGTCGGATACCTCCAGTATGGTGAAGACCCCGGGTTGCTGCTTGGGTCACTTAGCCAAGACCGAAACTCGACCGGGCGCTATTCTTCCTGCGGGCCTCGTGGGATATCTCGTATTATGTATCAGGAAATACTAACATTGAATCTGCGTGCACGAAGTGAGGTGCTCATCCAGTCTTTGGTGTGGGTTCACGAGACTCGAGGGCGGGAAAGAAAGTTGATGGCAATGCAGCGAGGACCTACAAAGATCAACGGTGAAGGAAAAGAAGAAGTTGCCTAGCGATCATTGTAGTAAGTGTTACCCCTCGGCGTTAAAAGCATCTGCGCTAAAATACCATTATTTAAGTATTTAGCTAGATACCTTAAGTACCCTTTCCTCCGTCCCTCATGGACATTCGTCATTTCTCGGTGTGATCCTTCAACCGACTCGAAAATTAGCGAGCTAAGCTGTTCGGAAAGGTACCCAGGCACAGGTACCCGCACTGCAAACACTTCTCCACTTTCTCGGCACCGAATCCCTCTCCACTCCGCATCCGACCCGGCGTCATGGGTCCGGAATGTTGAAAGAAGGACTTTCCAGAAGTAGGGTGGTATCGATACGCGACGGGACGTGTCCCAGGCTACCCAGAACACCTACCGACCTCTACTCAGTTGAGCACCTCAACCATAAGCGTTAGATTAGCATATTCTTCTTTCTGGTCTATTCAGGCAGGTCACGCACTTACTTACATGTAATCTTTGGAATCTCACATCCACAATTCATTGCCCAAGTTTCGTTGCACCCGGCCCTCATTGATCCAGATACGAGATTATGGCCATGATTCTGTCGCGTTTATCTGTGTAGTGTTTTTTCGTAGACGCCTTGGAGGTATTCATCATATGAGGCAGCATCGGGTTGGGGTATTCACTATCCCCCGAGAATAGACGAAGTCGTTCTCTTCCAAGATGCAATCTCTCTTCGGCGTCGGTGTCCTTGCGGCACGGGGGTGAATCGCCATTACGGAAGACTAAGTCAGCTTGGTTCAGTAACGAATATGAGACAGCTCAAGGACGAGTTCAGATAAATTAATGGAAAAGGAGGTGTCTACCCATGGATAATGGACTTATTGGAGTTTGCAGTCATCGTTGTTTCGATCCCCGACAACTTCGACAGCAAAATCCCTTTCGAATGCTGGGTGACGAGAGAAGGACTTCCGGTAATTTCAAAACCTTGGAAAGTGATGAAAGTCAAAGGGAATATTTCAAGAAGGATGGCTCCGGAATTAGAGATATTTGTACTGTTTAATACTTTTCTGAGTGCCAGTATGAGACGAGGTGGTTTTCAAGTTTCCCTTCGCGGCATGTCAACTTGATTTCGGCGAGCATCGAAAAGACGGAGTGCAGCCCGTGGCCCCGATGGCGATGGAAGGCTCAAGTACGTACCTCTTCGGTAGGGGCTCAGAGCAGCTTACTTTAGGTACCTTACCTAGGTTGTCTGGTACAATAAAGCGTCCCAAGAACCCCATCCTTCGTCCTTTCCTGCGGGTATGGCCCTCAGGATGTCTCCATCCGGGCGCCGTAATCATTGGTATACAAGATCGTGATCCAGTCAGTATAGTGTATAATGCTGTCTACGAGGGGCTACTAAATCTCAGAGCATCATCAATGCTTGTAAGTTTCCCTTGCTGGTCTACTTCGTTCCCATTGAATACCTAAACTACTGTCGTGGTTCTAGACGACTCGGGAGGTATGGTAGTGCTGCGCTCCTGCTGGTTTGTTGACGACATAGTTGCTGCGTAACGTCCCGCGCCCATTGACTGGTTGTTGGCTTGGGCTTTATCCTGTATCAATCTACAAGAACAGAATTGGGTTCTTCAGTCGCAGGATCCTGGAACGGTAAAACGGAAAATATACATTCTGATACGTCGTCCACCAAGAAGAAATACATAGAGAAAAAGGGCAGATTTAGCAGACCGGGACCAACCGTTGATCAGCGAAGGGACCTAAGCACGTGGAGCACGTGCTGCGGTGCCTGGCACCACAGGCAAGGACAAGGCACCCAGGCCACCATTCACCTAACCCGCCCACCATCGTAACCTCACAATCTGTGCGGTTGGAACAGTGCCGGTACCTAAGGTACTCTACCAACCACGATCGGTGCCCTAACGGACAAGACCTTAAATAAGGTACCTTAGGTACGGAGCGAACTGTATCTTGTACCCAATCCTGGACAGGAACGTACCTTCCCACACTGCCATGGAACGCACTGAAGCTCTCCGCTACAGCTTAGTGCTTCCATTATTAGCGCCCTCCCTGGGATGTGTGCGTCATGGTTCCTGTATTCCCCATTGTTCCAGGCCATCGGGCCTTGAGGTGCACAACAAGAATGCCGTTCAAGATCCGACTCCATGCCGTTGACTAATCGCAAGATCATTGGGTATTAGTCGACGTGTTGGTGGTAGGCTAGACAGGTTTAACAGCTATGTGCATTCGGGTCGCTTCTTTCGTTCGGATGGGATTCGCAATCTGTATGATCTGTTCACTGTGGTGCTGTGCTCAGTATGTGTAGCCTAGCTACCGCGTAGATACTTACCAGTCGTATATGTCACAGACTCGAATTTTTTGCGCCAAAAAATTCCCAACTACTCTCAACGTTCGAACTTGGCCATGGTCTCGTTGATTTTCTGACTTGCTTTGGCGCGGTGTTTCACTAACGACCTCTCAGAAGACGCTGTCATGCAAGGCATCATAGTCCCAGGACCTTTGTCTGCTAGAAAGGATTGAAGTCGTTCCGTACGATCCACTTTGGCATATTCGATTCGACTATCGTGCGATCTTTGTGAGAAGTCTCTGAAGAGTCTGACATCAGTTTGAAATTCCGACAAACAGTAGGCACAAATGCAATGATGATAAGAGAGGAACACAAGGATCCACGTATTCCATACCCGTTGACGACTGCGCAGTCGGAGGTGGTGTCCATCTTTCCAATTATCTGTACACAATGTGTTTCTCGAGATCCGATGCGCCTGTAACAGTCAAACAAACCGGTGACGCAACTGCAGTGCAAAGCGGTGATGCTGGCAATGAAGCATGTTGGCAGGAGAGCTATGAGATCTCCATTTCCAATATATAAGAAAAATCCATGCTATGAGAATAGATTCAAACCGAAGAGACAGCAAAGTGCTTCAGCATCGCGTTCTTCTTTGATAGACCACCTGCACAGAACTTGCGTTATTGCCACTTTCGGTACAGCTGCAGGGAGATGGTGTCAGTGGTACAATGATACATGCATGCCGGTGCGTTTAAGGTTAGCTTGTAGTTGCCTTACATTGAGCCGCAATATGGTGCGCGCACCCATCCCTCTCTCGTGGAAAGGTACTTACGTAGAGCGAAGCCGAGTTCACCAGAATACCTAGACACTGTCCCTCATCGGACTTTCGAAAACCCGGCATTACCTGTCTGGCCAAACCAATTCACTCAGGACCGGATCTGAGATGATACACCAGCTGTGCACACTCCAAAGCTCTGAACCGGACTTCGGGCACCGGACGACACTACCGAAGCCATCGCCGTCATTGTACTGCCTGTCACCTGCACAAGTCGTGACCGGGAGTAAGTTATGGATTCAAAGCAAAGGATCCGGACTCTGCCTTTCATTGAGGCAATCAATTCTCTCTTATCCGGTCGCTTGTGCTTGCATGAGCTCCCCGCTAGATTTTATCATTGCTTCAAAGTTGAGCATTCCCTACGTGATGGCATCGAAAGACACAGATGTATCTTTGTTAAAGAAGCCTCTTCTTCTTCGAGAGAGAACTTTGTCTCGTAACGAATCTTCGCGTGCAGTTTTGTAAGAGCAGGTGGAAGTATAGTTTTATGGTAAGTAGCATGGGACTGATCTCCGTTCATCTCACAAGGTCTCATGGCTGTAAACACCACACCAAATATGAATCCATAACACTCATTGAAACTTGGTTTATTAATCCCTAAAAACACGCTATGAAACGAGGCGATACAACAGACGGCGAAGCCATCAATATAACGCCCCTTTCCAGGACTTGTCTGCATTACCAGCCCATCAAAGAAGGAGCCCCTCCATCGTCTACTAAATCGATGTGTCGAAATTTGACCAGCCTCCAAGATAAATTCGTGACGAGTCTTGAAGTTCCAGTAACCCAGGGCTACCCAGCACACGTCGGAGACCTGCTCGATGAAAGCACCTTCGTGTTCGACCCAACGATGTGGTGAACCAGTCAAATGGGCCCTAGATATTTGGAATCGGAAACGGATTGTTGGGGATTGTTGGGGATTTTTATTCGAGATATTCGAGTCGGAGGATGTGACACTTCTTTGGCGGACAATAATGTCACTTGGAGCCTTCCTCCTCGACCGAGTCCCGCGTTCCTTGGTACACTCTTCTCATAGTTCGCCAGATTGCCGACGGTGCGATGGGGAGGTTTTTCAGCGCAGGATACGCCTCACTTTATTGACACCCACTCTGGACTTTGGCTTTCATCATGTGAAGATAATAGATGGCAACACTTAGCGCAGACTTGAGACCAACCATTCATCTCAACGTCGTCCCGACCGGTGATGACAGCAGCAATGCCGCTGGCCAGCCTCACCTCGGGCCAGAACTTTAGACACGTCAGCTTGCTCCATATTCGGCAGTCAGTTCAGCGTATCAAATTCCTTCGCTTTCGATGAGCCCTGTTTACACATCAGCAGATGGTCATTCATCCTACTCATGTGGCCTTTTTTCACGGGGCTGCAGTAATGTGCCAACGTTGTTGGGACCAGCGGTCTGCACGATAGGTTTCAGGTGCTTCCAGGCTCCAACAAAAACAGATAGATAACGTTGTTACACAACTTAGCTAGCTTACTTTGAACACTTATACCTGTAGGCAGTGACCAGGCTGGCTGTTGACGTCTGATCAGGCAGCTTTAGAGCACGCCTTCTGGCTAGAGCCGCGAATGGTCTGCATGGTTCGCCTACGGGGCTGGTTCGCCCAAGCAATGTGGTGTTGGGTATCCCGCTGCCTCCCCTTCATTTCTCTTCTGAGGCATATGAGGGACTGCACCCCTACGATCAGTCCTACTCAATCGTTTATATCTCGTTAATTTTCTTCCCTTCAAGCCCCCTTTTCGCCCGACTCAAAAAGCTTCTCGACCAGCGGATAGACGAGAAAACCTTTCGTCCACCCAGCGGTGTCTGCGCGGAAATAATCAACCTTTGGCACCATATTTGGCACTTCGAACTTCATTTTCATCATCAGGTCACAACTTGAGATACGCCAACATACAGCAGCCTTCCTGGCACTAACTTCTTACCACGAAGTCAAAACGCATGAGTCGTCCAGCGTTGGAACCCTTTCTTGAACAGCAAGATCGGCCGATCGACACGATATGTCTACAATCGTATCCTCTTGGCCCATCATTTATTTTCAAGCATGACACGAAAGCGTACCCCTTTGGCGAAGCTTGAGCCACGACGAGTTGAGACCTCTTCAAATTAGGCTCCGAACAGTACGAACGGAAATATTAAGGTCTCCAGGAAAATCAGATCAACAAAATGCCGTCTTTAGGCTTCTGCGTCTCGATTCGGTACGATGTGGCTCGACTACAGCCAGGGTAATAGGTCGTTCTCTACGCAGCCCGACTTGCGAAAATACTACGGCATGGATTATGGAGCTATTCCGACACCTAGGAAACTTCTAATTATTCAAGTACGGTATCTCGAACATCATGGAGATTCCGTTTCACACGGGTCGGCCGATGATCCAGGCAGCATCGTCAGTTGGGCCCTGCAAGAGGCTTCTTGGAGTATTGACAGTATCTTCAGACGTCCTTCGACACCACGTTGCGGTGACTGTCATGCTTCAACGCTGATCTCGGCTACTTCCCTATCGTTGCTGAACCAACGAGATGCGTTAGCATGCAATGCCTATGATAGAATAGAGATGCCCAAAGCGTGCATGAAGCACATTACAAATGTCTGGTTCATGTTAGCCACGACAGACATCTGATAAAAATCGTCCCTCTACTAACCGCATTCAAGACTATGCCTAAATATGATAAGCTCGAGAATAACGATGTGTTGTGCGAACCCCGTGCTTCTCACAGGAACGCGGAGTGCACATGTCGAAATAGTGTTCCTGGATTTTGAGGGAAAATTATTAGGGCAAGTGAGACAGATGCTACCTCCGTACCCTATGACTTCGCGATTGGATACTGCCTGGTGGTCCGGATGCTTGACAACCGAACGGGACCGGGACGCTTAGGCAGATTACATGCAGACATACTATTCGACGACGATCCCAAGCCTCAAAAGCCCTCTTAGACCTTCGCCATCGCGATTCAATTTCGAGTCGTGTGGTGAATAATCATCAATCATGTGAGATTCATGAGAACGGGTCTCGCACGATCCGAATTGGTCCCATTTTTAGCATAAATCCATGCTCTATCTTAAGAAGGCACTACAGCTTCCTCGTCCTTTTTCTCTGGCTTCCGACCCCAAGCAGCATACCTAGAAGTTACGTTAGTTGATATTGTGTCTTAGATATCAATATTCCAATCACTTACACGTCGTAGTATGCATGAACTCCAATCTTTTTGTGTTCGTTCCTCACCTCAGCAATGAAGACCGTCGCCTCCTCCTTAGTCCAGTTCAGGACGCGGGTGAAGAGAGCCATAGAGGCTGCTTCAATTCCCGAGCCGGCAGATGCTTGAGCCCACAAGCCTAACTCCTTGAGCTTCGGGTCCTTAGGCCAGGGGTTGTAAGGCCAGATGGCCTTCTTCTCCTCGACATCGACAAAGCCTGCGTCCTCCAACATCTGCTTGAAGCTGGCAGCGACATTGACCGGACGACCCATCGTTGCAGCTGCCTCCATGACCAACTTCGTCCACTCGAAGGGCTTGAAGTCGTCCGTCATCGTGTCGTCTCGACACATGAGTGGAAACATGTTGTCCTGAAGCTCAAGATAACCGCCTGGCTCGAGACGCCTGTGTTCAACATGTGTCAATATTGATGACCTGCTGATCGAGGCGTGCTACTCACTCATAGGCCTTGGCGATCATTCCCGGCCAATCAGAAAAGCTCGCAATCATGTTTCTGACAAAGATGAGGTCAAACGGCTCCGACCAGAGCCACTCTTTCTCGACGTCGTCAACCTCAAATGAGCAATTTGGAGGTACGCTACAGTCAAGTATTAGCTGAGGGATCGTCTCTGTTGATGCTAGAACTCACAAGCCGGGTTGAATCGGGCTTAGGTCAACACCAAGCACCTGGGGAAAGTCAACGACTGCAACCGCCTTTTGTGTTTTCGTTGGAAATTACTATAGCTTCAGCGTGGTCGTCCGCTACATCCGTATTAGTCGCCATTACTACACTACATAGAAGGCGGATTGACTTACCATAGTCTAGGGCCCAGACGCCAGTACCAGTGCCGATGTCTAGCACGCGCTTGGCACCAGCGTTCTTGGGGCAGTTGCAAAGTTTGTTATCCCATGTAAGTAGCCACAGGTTATGGGTGAGATCTGGCAACAGGTGAGCTTGACTCAACAGGCCCACGCGGCGTTCGGCTTGCTTACCAAGTCTGTCTTGCTCTCGCTTGAAGTTGGTCAACCGTTAGAAATGAGCAAATCGTTGAGAGAGTCATGGACTAGTACCTCGTCATTGGGAAGGAGATATTCTGTTCACGATGAGACAAGGTTAGCCTTCGCAAAAGGCGTTGGGCGAGATGGTAACTTGCTTCCATCGCTGAGCCGATGATAAGTCCGACCATTTTCTCGGCGGTAGTCGAGGATGCTGGACCTCAGAGAAGCCAGCGAGTCGTCTATGGACTACATGATGTCAACCCATATCCAAAGTCAAATAGCCTGAGAAATATCTCTCACCGACCCACCGATAGAGGATGCACCATCGTCGATCTCGGGTTCCTGGAACTCATGTCAGTCACAACTTGCTATCTCATGGGCAATGAGCATAGGACATTGCGGCCGAATACTTACCGCAGCTATTATCGGCTGCTGTGCCTGATCAGCCATCTTACAATGTCGAGCAAGGGAGATTCCGAGTAAATTTTGGTGTAAACAATGATGAAGAACAGAACTATGAGTGAGGAAGAGTTCCAAGTGAGGGGGCAAAGGGCTGGGTAAATGTAATCTCGCGTCCTTCCGTATCGAGAGGGCCCCTGGTCGTCTTCTCCATGTTGATGCATCGCCCCCCGCTTGCATCCCTCTGTTGGTTTGCAGAACTGTGTTTGTTTACTTTTGATTGGATTTTGCCATCATTATCATCTCATGCATGAATATGCAAGGTGCCCGGAACCGTCATTCAGTGTCCCGTGGTGGACAATAAATCGAAATACAGCAAAACAGCGCCAAATTTACGGATCCTTGGTTCGCAAGTGACGAGGCATCACATCGGTTACGATCTCTTCAATATTAAAAACGGACATGCTTGTCAGGGAACGGGCGTCCAAAACTTCTTGCTTTAGCAAAGAATTGTGGCTCAATTCTATGGAAACTGTCAAATAAGGACATCAATTGAAAGAGGAAGCTGCCAAATGCCATGCATGCTTAAGCACTCCCTCTTTCAGCAGGTTTCCGACCCCAGACTGCATAGCTAGAGAATCATCAGTCAAGGTTCCCACTAAGACATCTGGCAATTGACTTACACATCGAAATAGGCGTGGATATTTTGCTGCTTCAACTCCTCTCGAGCTCCAGCGCAGAACACTAACGTCCGCGCCCGCGACCATCCCAGAACGCGAGTAAATAGAGCAAGCGAGAGGGCTTCCAGGCTTTCCATGGTGATAGACTGGCACCACATGCCCAATTCATGTTCTTTGGTGCCCTCTTCGGGCCACGGCCCAATCGGCCATATCTCCTTCCTCTCATGCACGTCTTCGAACCCAGCGTCCTCGAGCATCTGTTTGAATTTCGGGGCGTCATCAAGTGGCTGTCCAATCAATCCGGTGCTTTCAACGAGCAGCTGAGACCACTTGTATATCAATGAATCTTCTGGCATAGTCCCGTCGGTACAAATCAAAGGGAAGCCATTATCCTGCATTTCCAGGTATCCACCAGGTTCAAGATTCCTACATTGTCAGATGGTCAGTTATATATAAATGTAAGACTACAGCAGAGCTTGGGCGACCAACTTGAAGGCTTGGATTACGAAGTCTGTGCGACTTTTGAAGCAGGCGTTCATAGATCTAGAAAATATGAAGTCGAATGCCTCTAACCAAATCCACTCTTTCTCAATATCGTCAACCTCGAAATGGCAATTCGGAGGGACGCTGGTAGGTCAGTACGCCAACTCTCTTCTCACCGGGACAAAGTCGACTCACAATTCAGGCTGTATAGGGCTCAGGTCAACACCCAAGACCTGTGCATCTGAATGTTAGAGTTGTTTAATGCACGACTTTGCAGACATTAGTCGTCTTACAAAAGCTCCGGGGTGCTCATCCGCTTTCGTGCCATCAGTACCTCCATGATTTGCCTTTGAAGCCACTCAGCAGACTTACCATACGCAAGAGCCCATATTCCAGTTCCGGTTCCAACATCAAGAACTCTTTTAGCGCCGTATAATTTGGGGCAGTTACATAATTTGCCATCATAAGTTAACTTCCAAAGATGGTGAGCAAAATCTGTCTAGCGAGCTTAGTACTCTGTTTCCTTCTCGATGCTTCTTCACTTAGAATACATACCTAGGCGGTCCTGTTCTTGCTACATCATGCATCAGCAATTCAGTCCCTTGGATTCCATCATCCTAGCGCACCTCGTCGTTGGGAACGTGATAGCCTGTGTTAAAGTCTTGTAAGTGGCATGTCAAATGTTCAGGCTGAAGGATACTCACTTCCATCACTTAGCCTATGGTACGTCCGGCCGTTCTCTTTACGATAGTTCAAAATACTGGACCTCAAGGAAGCCAGCAAGTCGTGTGGTTAGCAGGAGGAATCTATCAGGAGTCTGGGTAACACACAGATCCTCCTATGTAGTAGGTTTCCTCGTCAGTACGATCATCCTATTCATCAAGTTAGCACACTCATCCGCTCACGTGGACGATGGCACTGCACCCACGTTTCCCGGAAGTTGCGCGTCATTTGCCATGTTGACTTGTAAGTTGGTTCAGCTGTCTTGATGTTCATAGAATGGCAATGACAGGCTTAAAAATGCAGCTGGAAAAATGAGGGGAAAGGAGGAGAGCCGACTGTTGGTTGCCCCTTGGCTACCCTTGCCACCATTCTTCTACACTTCCAACAACCATTCGCTAGACCCGCTTGTTATTATTTAGAGGCCAGCATTTATCAATTGTGATTGGCTTGCGCTGTCATCGTATCACCGGGCCTGCAGGTTTGCTAGCTGTACGACAAGGGTCGTGAATGCAAGCTCCATCACTCTTGGGCGTGCTCAGAACTAATACAGGCAGAATGACCGAGTAATATTGCCGCAGCACCAGTTCCTTTCTGGATCACTTCCCTTTGCGAGTACCACATCGTACGACAGTGCAGCGTTTCCCACCTGCCAGGCCTTTTTAGCCATGTTTGCAACAGGCATTCAGCAGGCCAGGATGCCGTCTTATTGATGAACGGCATGTGGGTAGCATGTTAAAGAATATGCAGTGTGTTTTGAGAAAGAAGAATGTGCAAAATATCACAGATATCTAACTAGCCTCCTCCTCCCCCTCCTTCTTCTCGGGCTTCCGGCCCCAAGCAGCATATCTATTCCGATTAGTTAAATGACCCGTACTACACGGCAATGAGCGAGTGAGTGGCTGGATACTTACGCATTGAAGTAGCCGTGAACCTTTTGCTGTTTCAATTCATCCCTAACCCCAGCGCAGAATACGAAGACCTCTTCTCGAGTCCAGCCAAGCACGCGCGTGAACAAGGCCATGCAAATCGGCTCAAGGCCTTCCATGGTACCGGCTCGGGAGCAGATTCCCAACTCCCTCTGTTTCGGATCCTTCTGCTGCCATGGGCTAATGGGCCATTTCTCTTGGCGTCCCTGAACATCTTCAAACCCGGCATCCTCGAGCATCTGCTTGAAGGTGGGCGCAACAGCCATTGATTTACCCACGATGTCCGTGGCCTCGACAATGAGCTGGGTCCACCTCAAGACTTGGGAATCTGCGGGCATGGAACCATCATCACAGAAGATGGGAAACTCATTGTCTTGGATCTCAAGATACCCTCCTGGTTCCAAGTTGCTTCGAATCATCGTTAGTCGAAGCAGAGCCCCGCCTGTGGCGTGGTAAGAAGCACTTACTCGTAGGCTTGCTTGATAGCGTCGGGCCAGCTTTTGAAACTTCCAACCATTGATCTGATGAATATGAAGTCGAATAGCTCTGTCCAAGTCCATTCTTTCTCGAGATCATCGATTTCGAAGCGGCAATTGGGCGGAACGCTGCCAAGAACGGTCAAAATATGGTCCCCTTCATGCCCCTAGCAAAGGACTACTCACTAGACGGGTTGAATAGGGCTCAAATCAACACCGATAACCTAAATTGACCCATCAGTGGGATTCGCTATGTACGAAGGGAGTTGGTTTGACATACGCTTGCTTCGGGGTGAGCATCCGCTATCAGGCAATGAGTAAGCAACCAAACTTCAAATGCCGTGTGAAGGTATTCTCAAGCCATCCCACTTACCATAATCAAGGGCCCAGATGCCCGTCCCGGTTCCAACGTCCAGGACTCGCTTGGCGCCCTTGACTTTAGGGCAATTACACAGCTTCCCGTCCCATGTAATAATCCATAAGTGATTGGCGAAATCTACGATGGGTTGTTGGCTTGCACGTCCAGAATATGGAAACCAGGCCAGCACGTACCTAAACGGTCTTGTTCCGTCTACGGTGTGCATGAGCTAGACAGGACAACTCCCAGGAATACGCAAAATATCTCACCTCATCGTTAGGAAGATAGTACTCTGTTCGACGGTCTCAGTAATCATTTGCCAGAGCCGAAGATCAAATCAACTTACTCCCATCACTGACTCTGTGATACGTGCGTCCATTTTCCCTCCGATAGTCGAGGATACTCGACCGTAGAGAAGCCAGGGAATCATCGGTAGACTATTTGTCGTCAACATTGTGGAAAACGCCCATCTTTGCCTGGGATACTGACACTGTCACCTATAGTTGAAGCGCCGTCGGTATCTTGAGGATCCTGCCTACCATATCAGCCCGGACTATGATTTCGAAATTCTGTTCAAGTTGTCCTCCGTACATTAGCTGGAACATTGTCTGTAGTTTCGGCCATGCTTGAGTTATGGAATGCACAGTCTTCGTATGTGATTTTGGAACAAGAGAGTGGCCCTGGAAAAGATTGAGGGGTAAGACGGGGTTATATGGTGTTTGCTGGTCGAGCTTGTTGGCGGCGGCGAGGTGAGCCCGTTGTGCATTCATAAGAATGTATCCGTACGGCGTAAGCGCCAGCAACTCCACTCGTTGGTTTCTCGAATTTCGTTCAGATCGAATGATTGGACCGAACCTCGTTCGTCAACCCATTTATGCATGCACCGGCTTGGTTGGTCGGTCTTTGAGCCTAATCTGGCCGGAACAGCGGAAATACAGCCGGTCTTCGGGGAAATATGCTTGGCAAGATGCAAGGTGATATGGATTCGTTCGAGGTTGATGTTAACTGCCCGATTCGAAAAGTGGCTGAATCCATGAGCAGCACTGTTTAACTCTATCGTTTTATATTACTAGAGGATTACCGCAGTATATATAGACGCTACCCTGCCCTCGAATTCCGTACTATTTAACCTTAACCCTTTTTATAAATTACCTATTCTTTCCTCTATTTTACCCTCTCCTTTATTAAAAAATTATTAAAATTATAGTTTTAATAACTTATTAATAAGTTAATATTATTATTTAAAAATAAGTAACTTACTCTTATATATAAGTACTAAGAGTCTTATTATTATAGAAATAGTAATAAATATACTAAAGTATTTAAGAGAGCTTTTTAATAAATTTCTAATATTATTTAAAATAATTATCCTCGAGTTATAAAAAGAAACTAAGGTATTATATTAATACGGCCCTATCCGTCTTATTAATACTAATAATACCCTTTTTAATATAAAATATATTAATAATACTCTATAACTACGTTATTATATTTTATAAATTATACTTAACGTCCGCGAGGATTTTAATATTATTTACTAAGTATTTTATTAAAGTTATTATTATAGGGTTAGTTTAGTTATTAATATTTTAATAAGTATTTTAACTTAGTATATTTAGAAGCTCTTATAGTTCTTAATTAAAGGTTTTTAAAAGACTTATAATTAGACTTTTCGTTTATTATAAATAAAGCTATTATAATTAAAGCTATAATACTACTTATAAACTTCGATAATAAGTAATTAGTAATATAATTATTTTTCTTTTATAATAAGCTTAAAAAAGTATTTTAATTTAAGTACTAAATAAGTACTATACTATTTTATTAAAACTATATTCTTATATTTATAAGTTAGAAAGAATTAACTTTCTTTAATAACAAGGTACTCAGAATCCATGAGCAGAAGAGCGCGCATGCGCACTCAAGCCCCTCTGTCCTTTTGAGATGCAGCACTGTGTCTGTTCACTGCTACAAACATCACGGACGGATATGTGTCTATGCTTAGACTAGCGGGTGTCACGGCCATAAGATCCAGAAGGAGAGTTGAGATTGGAATCGATTGGAGACTATAACAGCCCAAAGTCTCTACTCTTCTCAGGTGAGGTTTTACCTTATATCTTCATGGCCAAACAGATCTTTACGCTGATCACATCAAGTAGAGCCACTTGCAATTTACAACCCTGATTCTGAGAATAGCCATTTCGTGCCTCTTCGACGTCAAATGCGTGAGCAATGATCTAGGTGAAATGTTTTGTATGGAATTACCCAAAGCTTTCCGCTTTAGCACCCGTATGGTAGTCCGACTTCAGCCACTCCCGTAGTTTACTCCAGTAGAGCTGGGCTTGATGGTTGATGAGCCCGTTGAACCGTCTGACTTATGTTTCGTAAAGCTCTGCTGGAAGGTTTTGATGGCTCTAGTTGCTCGACTTTTGTGATGATCAATGGCAGACTTCAAGTCCCGAGGGTTGTGGGAAAGAGGCACGAGGGTGTTGCCGTCTTGGAGATGTTCCTGCTGAAACCGAGCTAGTTGGGATTGTCGAGGTATGTGTTTATCAACAGGGTTGATCCGAGGAACAGTTGAATCACTGGGTTTAGAGAAAGGTTAACACAGTCTTCTCAATGGAGAGACAGAGCTTCAACTTACATCCCATGATCAGGACTAGAACCAGGAGAAGACATGGCCGGGACTCAGAGCAATGGATGAGATTCCTCAATGAAGTTATTACATTGAAGCTCGGTGATCTCGACTTACTGGAACAATGTCCTCTACGATACTGGCGAGGGGAGGGTCTTATACAAGATCAAAATCTTGGCCGAGTGCGGCTGGGAAGACTGTATATAACGGCAGTCATTTCAAGGTGAACAGGTTTGAGACGGACATGAGGTACTGGCGAACTGCCAATGATGCTCTCGAAGCCAGATCAACTTGAGCAAGAGCTATTGAGTTTGACACAGAAAGAATAACACAATGGTCCGCCGGTGACCCGCGGCCGTTCGCACATGGACTTGATTTAACCGCCATCCCACCGTCACCGGTGATTTGCCCCAGAGTGGAGATGACCAACTTCGCATACTGCTTCACACCCCCTCGTCGTGCCGGATTCAACCTGGCTTGCTCCTCCTAAGGCTACGGGCCGTTACACCCACTTCCAGCGTCCCAGAAACCCGGTGCGTGGCAAGTCGGGAGGCTGTCTAGGCCCTTCACGGTATCGTCTCCGTTCAAGAACCCCTCAGGTAGTCTTCTTTCATCCTTCGAGAACATGCAAGGACACTCGACACCTTCCTCAAGGAGAAGCTCGTGTGTCGACTAGGGAAGATTACTCTTGGACCCCGGAAGAATACTGGTCACATACTGCCCAGCATGCATGGTATAAGCCACGACGATCTTGAGGGATAATCTCGTAGTCTCCACCACATGGTTCTCGGAGGTCTCCAAGGCGCTAATAACACGGCACCGGCATTCAATGAGACGTTGCACATGTTTCCTGTCGGGGAAATGAGGTCCCTGCCGGCGTTTGAGGTCGGGGCCACTGCGGAAAGTCCGTTACTGTCTCCGGAGTGATTGTGGCTGGTGTTCTGCAGCTAACAAATCCAAGGGCTTCAATGGAGGCTTCATCGTGCATGCTGTGGCTAGTGCTTCTGGCTGGTTGGCTGGAATGGTGATCGAAGGCAGAAACGACAGGCAACCAGCCACAAGTTCGGCCATGTGGTGTCCCTGTATTCTGATTTGCTGGAATGCGAGCAATAAGTGATGGTTGCTGAGCCGCTCACCATGCTGCATTGATTCGGCCCTGGAGAGGGAGGGATGCATCGCGTTATGAGGGACATTTCTGCCACCACCCTGGTTTGTCGCTCTTTTCTCGGTGCTACATTAGCCAATGTTACACGAGGATGCTTAACAGTCACCTGGCAGCTTGTTTGAAGATTGAAGGAATGGCAGATCAAGTTGCAGTATTCAATTTCAGGCCGAGGTCGCGAGGCTCCAACTGCTACGCCTTCTGTGGTAAGCAGCTATTCGATCTCCAATTCTTTCCCAAGTCTTATCAAGAGCCTACATGCCTTACCCTGGTATGTTTCGAAACTGCCAGTGTGACTGATACACGGTTGGATGGCGGCGGCCGCCGGCGGCGAACAAAGAACTTCTCAGCCACACTCAACTCCCGCCAATTGAATATACGCTTGGGCTCTAGCCACCGAGGCTGACTCTGTGAGGAATTCGGATTCTGGGCTATTCAATGGTTATGATGCTTGTAAAACCTGAAGATTTGCCATATTTCTCACGGCTACGCGGCATGATGGCCGCCGGTGTGGGAAACGAGGTGGTGTCCGCGGTGTGATGTGAAGTCGGAAGAAACGTCCACAATTGAGTTCCAGGTGTCTTAGGGGACCCCAGTCATGGTCCGCGGGGAGGTCTCGGGCGATGCCGCCTTGTGGCAGGTGTTGCAGGTACACCAAATGGCTCGTGCAGCCAATGGAGCTCCCCTGTTCCCAGCAAGTCCCAACGCCATCTTCGCCTGCACAACTCCCCTGCCCCTCGTTGACCACCTTGCCTGAATAGGACGGTTCCCCGCGAGATGTATCTGACAGCAGGCATCTATTCACGAATGGCCTCATCAGGCACACCATGATGGGATATGTCAGTCAAAATATCGACTAGGTGACGACCGTGTGCCTTTTGAAGGGGGCCTAACAAGCTAGCAAGATGCTTGAGGAAGCAATGCCGCTGTATGAACCCCTCGATGCTGGCAAGTCAGAAATCAGGCTTCTCGAATATGTCAGCTTCTCTGGTCAGCCGTCCCTGAGACTCAGTTCGGTATCTCTCGACGAAAAGCCTGTATACACAGCCCTATCATACGTCTGGGGAGATGCTTCCATCACTGAGTCAATCCTTTTGAACGACCAGGAGTTTCAAGCAACCAAAAACCTCTTCCACGCTCTTCAGCATCTCCAAGATCATTGGATAGACACGTTTCCTGGCCGACATCCGCAAGGCTTCAGGCTCTGGGTGGATGCCCTTTGCATCAACCAACAAGATGTCGCAGAACGAAATCAGCAAGTGCAACTGATGCGACGAGTTTACGCGAGTGCCGAGCTCGCGTTCTCGTGGCTCGGAACGGATACCGAGGAGATTGGCGCAGCATTTGAAACGATCAACCTGGTGGCTCACGAAATGGACAAAGTCGTAGGACGACGCCACATTGGAGGAGTTGAGCCGCACGAACTGATCAGCTGGATGAAAGATTGGCCACAGCTCATCTTGGCTGATATAGGACCTGAAAACGACTGGCATTCCAATCAGTCGTGGAAGAGCGTTCGGTCTCTTTTCACCCTACCTTACTGGTTTCGCGTATGGGTAGTTCAAGAGATTGTCCTCGCAGAGAACCTGGTTTTGTTATCTGGGAAGTCTTCTGTTGACTGGATAGCGCTTTTCCTCACATGCAGTTGGATTGGAAGGTTGAAAGAGATCCGGAGCTACTTGCAGAAGCCTTGGTGGATGGTTGATTCTGCCTGGCTCAGCATCACGTCGTCCGATAGGGTGCCATGGCACAATCCCATGCGACTCATGGAGGCGAAGCACCTACACAAACGACCAGAAACGCTGAGTGCAGACGAGTGGGAGAGCTGGGGCTGGCATTTGATGAGCTGGAATCACACCCTCTCCGCCACCGACCCCAAGGATAATATCTATGGCTTGCTTGGTCTCACCAATTTGCCCCTGATTCCCGACTACAGTCCGGACGTCTCGGTCGCTTCGGTATATGTCGAGTACTTTGCTCAGAATCTTGCATACTGGAAACGAACAGGACGAGGCAAAGAGCTTGAACTTCTTCCAATGGCTGGCCTACACATGACCATGGGGGCGACTCAACCACTGGTCACCCCAGACCTCCCGACGTGGGTTCCGAACTACCCACACGCATGGAGTGAATCAAATAGGTTGTTCGAGCCGATCATAGGAGACGCTGATAACGGAGTTTTCGGGTCAAATGTCCCAGATGCGAACATCTCGGGCGAAAGACACTTACTAGTGTCCGGCATTCGTATCGGCAAGGTAATTCGCAACCTACCGAAGCCAACATTATTCGATACTGAGAACAAGCTTGTCAAACTCACCGAACAACTGATAACTAGTAATGATCAGTTTTCCAATGGGATGACTGCGCAGGAGGCCGTATTTCGCGCGGTGTTCGAATCAGGCGGTCGTGGTGAAGCTGTCCTCTTTCGGTACCCCGAAGCCCGAGCTGAGATGGCTCTCGGCTTCTTGTTTCACTTGATGTACATCGATCGAGAATTCGCAGATGAACCTTTAGGACAGCGCCTATTCGAGCTACTCGGCCTAGACGACAGCAGCAGTGAGGCGTTCAATAGTAGCCTCTCGAAAGCATTTGTTTCTGGCCATGAAATCGAGGGCCCATGGCTGGAAAGGCTCGCAGAATGGAATCCAGAGGATGGCATTTCACCTGAGGTCCACGACCAGGTGAAGTCGGGTGTGAGCGCTTGGGACTGGCGTGATCGCGGGATGTTGTATATAGGAGGAGCCGGGGGCAACTACATTGGCGTTTCCCGACAAAACATGGCTGAAGCTGGGGATGTCGTATGTGTACTGAAAGGGTCTTCGGTGCCTGTCATCTTGAGAAAGACCGAAGACGAAGCGACTTGGAGCCTGGTTGGCACGTGTTGGGTAGCCGGGATGATGTATGGTGAGGTGAAGACTAAGCTTGATGACGCTTCCGTGAGTGTGGAGAGATTTGAATTACGTTGATCAGGGATCTCAGCAACATCAAGACGCCAGACATGAGAGGCCACAATCATCATGTAATCGCTCAATTCTCTTGAAATACGCTTAAGACACTTTGCGGAATAGTTTGCGCAAAGACTTGCCCCCGATCCATCGCTCGTGCCATCATATTGTTGACACCTACTTTCCCCTATTCATGTAAAGCTTGAACTCCATCATCACTGACTAAAAGTTACATTATTGAGATGATTTAGCTCAAATAATTCCATTTAAATTGGACAAAATCAACATTAGTAGCTGCGATAGTGCCTCATAGGTGAATCTTACTTCCACGAAGGCGGCTGGATGGTACTCTGTGCCGTTGGTGCCTGAGTATTCCGTCCGCCCCTGGCCATTCATCCCAACGCCGTCATCGCCTCTGTGGCTCAACCCACAGCCTGCACCCTTCATGACCATTCGCGTTGGAGAGTCTGTCGGGGTGATGAGAGGGTGCACTTGGCAGAAAGTTTTGATTGTGTCTTCTCACACTGGCGCATACGACCTTGCCATTTAAAGTCTGTTGTTCGCCCGGGGCGTCGCATTTCAGCAACATATCTTGCCATTTCGCCATTCGCGTACATTTTATTTTACCTATCTTACTAAGCGATATTCTGTTGCCCGCGTGAATCTTTGTACCTCGAGTATCTCGATATTGAGGTTTCTTGGCGGTTCAATTCCCGTCGTGGGCACTTCTTTGTATAGCCGTTCTCACGTTCGCCGCGTAAAAATGTACTTGGAATTCATGATACAGACCGACCCCGTCCGAGTAAATAGCTAGAAAGGCCGTAAATCAAAGAGAGAAAAAATCGTTAAGTAGAAAAAGTATTTCACCGATAAGGAATCGAACCAAAAACTTAGGTGTCAGGTCAATGGTCGAGGGGACTGAGATCCACACTCGGGTCTTCCCCCATGAACCCCTCGACCATTTCACCCGAATCACTTAAGTGACAGGAGTGAAGGAGGAAAGAACCAAGTACCCTCCGACCTCCAAGGATTCCGGTTTTCCCAGGACTATTCTTGCATATAAAAGGAGATTATTCGAGAGACCTGTTTATCGAAAGCAATGCCTCATGATATCGCAGAGTCCCTCGCGACAGTTCGAAAAGGCGTGCGATCTTGGGCCCTGAGAACCACCCTCCTTCGAGAAGATTCTCACCCTGGTAGTATGAGGGCCATATCACTCTTAGGTCTTCAGGCTTCCCCCCCCTTGGTTCTATGCAGCCATATCCCGAGGTTGCCCTGGCACACTGGACACTGTCCGTACTTAGTTCCAACACACCACCATGATGCACGTTATCCCTAGGTTCTTAAATCCCCTTCAGCAATTAAATAATACTCAGAGATTCGTGAAGCTTGAAAAAGAAAATGACCGCTGTCTATGACTGCCTAATGGATTGGATCAAATGCACTCACATCCTCCGTGCCGGACCGTCCCCGTTCTCGGCCCGGACCCGGAGCGGGGCCGACGTCAACAAAATTACCCGCTCCTGCCCGTCACGCTGCAAAAGATCTTTCAACGTTCGATTTGTGGAGAAGGTTGCACCCACCGCCGCCCGCAGCAAAGAACACACCTCTGGCCCCCCCTGTTCGTTCGAATTTCCAGGCCCGCGCACCCGAAAATCCACGCTAAGATAAACGACGATAAGACGTTGAGCACGAGCCAACGAACTCCCCCCCAGTCCCCAAATTTTTTAGTCGTCCTTCCCGTCGCTTCTGCGCATCTTCTAGACGCCGATCGTCAACAGCCTCGACTTGTCGCAACGTCGAGATCGCCAACGCACTCGTGTGACCAAACCTTCGAGTCTTTGAAGCACCCCAAGACATACAGCAGCCACATCATAGAAAAATTCTATACGTCTGTACACATCAACTATAAACAATGGCGCCAGCATCGCCGTCCGCCTCTACGGCAGCCCCCAAACTCCCCGCCTCGGCAGACTTCAACGCCCTCTACAACCGCATCTCCCTCGCCTCCGCAAAACAAGCAAACTTCCTCACCTCGATGCGCGCAAAATACCCCTCCCTAGCACGATCATCTTCCTCCTCCACACAAGCAACAACCTCCAACAACGCCGCTGCGCCAGGCACCTTTTCATCAATGTCGAAACCCACCTCCTCAACCGAGACCACAACCACAGCCACCTCAACAACCAGCCGCCCCCGAGCTCCCGCCGACGACGCGGACCTCCGCTTCGAAAACCCAAACACGGGCCTCGGCTTCGCGACCTCCAAAGCGGACCAGACCACCTCCGCCGCAACGCGGGACCTAAGCCGCCGCCTCCTCGGCAGCAAACGCGGAGGAGGTCGCGCCGTAGACGACCCGAAAGCCCTCGCCGCCGCGGCGCTCAAGAAGCGCAGGCTACAAGACGACGAGAGCGACGAGGAGGAAGGGAGAGGCAGCTGGGGCAAGAGCAAGAAGAAGAAGACCAAAGTACATCAGGAGGAGGGGGAGTCTGCCGGACCCGAGGCGCTCGTACACCCGGCGGCACGGGAACGGGGCGATGTCGAGATGCGCGAGGGCGGATTGCACGACACGGAAGATCAAATACACGACAATGGCCAAGACAGCAAAGAGGATGCTCCGATCGCTAGTCCGATCCAGCCGGAAATAGCGGCCATGGACCCCGCCGAGGGGGATGAGGCCGATAAGCGACCCGAGACAGACGAAGCCACCAAGGAACGGAAAAGGAATAAGAAGAAGCGGAACAAGGAGAACAAGAAAAACAAGATGGCAGCGGCCGCTGCCGCTGGAGGAGAAGGTAGCGTCGGAGCCGCTCAAAAGATATCAGTGGCCTAGGGGAAATCATAGTTCCGCACATGACGAGTGCAGACTGCGGATCAGCGACACACTGCGACTCCCTTGGCCCGAGATGCCGGGACATCATCTCGCCAAGACCGCCGCCCTCATCCCTTGAGACCCTCTGGGAACTGCATGTGCGGTAGGCATCAGCGACAAGTCTCGGAAACTGTCGAATCACACAACTGCCGCGGATTGGCTGGCTGTCACAATATTGGTCATTGCATCTTCGCATTAGATCTAGCCAAGACTTGTTGAGCATGTGCCATCAGGCCATTTACAAGCCACACACTGCTGCTATTCCTGACCAAATACCTCAATATTCAGATGTGAACATGTTATTTTTTGAATGATTATCCATTTCCTCTCGCATCCCAAATGCAGATGTCGCAAATTACACCCCGATATGGACAGTTTTGGACAAATCTTGACAAACCTTGCCGCCTGACGTCCCTTGGGTATCCCGTCTCCTGAGCTCCGACCGCAAACACACAGCCTCCATCCGAGAGTGAATAATGTGAAATGAGATGTGGGATCCGCACTTGTTCTGTTCGATGAGACGCCATTGTGACGCTGAATTACTAGAGTTGCTAGTTTATAGTATGTTGTTGCTTCACGCAGTTCGGCCGTGATGCAGTAAATAACACATGGTTGATATCAATGTTGAACTTTTTGACGATTGAGAAATCCGGTTGTAAGTCGAGATTGACCGTCGGTGAATCGTATTATGTAGTGACCGTTGGCTTCGTGTGTGTTTCGGGTCTTGAACCTGGAATTTTTGGTTGTAGATATGCATCTGTGCAGATCGTGTACTGATCCGAGTATGATCCCCCTTTCTTCTATACAAGGAAAGGAATATTTCCAGGAAATCATCGGATAGATGTGTCTATCTGATATAGAAATGTACGGGCACGCGTACGAGGAGTGTGCCATGCATAAGGATCCAACGGACGACCCTGAAGGAGGCAATTGCTTTGCTCACTGCATACGCTTGCGCTTCCGATCATCGTCGCCTCGGGGATCCTCATCCTCGTCGTCTCGTTCAGCCGTGTCAGTCGGGTTGAGGATATGCGCCATACTTCCGCGACGCGTGGGTGGTCCTGAATGATCTCTGATGGCTAAATTCTTGTTGTCCCGGTTGGCCGAGTTCCACGACCAGTTGCCAAAGGTATCCCCACCACCACCATTCGAAAAGGGTGCGCCAGGAGGTGTGGTCGGTCGCGATAGAGGCCGTACTTGGGTCGCGTTTTGCAGTGAGTAGGTGGACAGCGACTCCCTTAGGCGCTGGTCATCCGGCGCGAGTCGGCTGGGCGAAGATGGCCAAGGTCCGGAAGGCGGTCCTGATGGAGGCCCTGAAGCAAACGGCGGCGGGGCACTGGGCTGCCACCCGTGTGCCCGTATATCAGCCGATGTGTGACGTCTTGCTAGACTTCCAGGAGGCGGCTCCACCTGAGCCAAGGGATGCGGCCCCGGAGGAGGCGGAGGCGGCGCCCCCCGCAAGGGAGATGAGGCCTGTGGCACTGAACCACCGCCAACCGAACCACCACCAATCGAGCCATAGGGTCTTCGCGTGCTGATCGAGAGATTCGAAGGCACAGGAGGCCGGTAGAAATTCTGCCCTCTGGGCTGGGGAACAGCAAGATTCGCGTTTCGTCTTGGGTCATCCTGGGGTAACTGCCGCGGCGAAACCGGTGCATTCTCCACGTTGGTGAAGTATGCTCGGCTGCTTGAGAATGGCGATTCCTGGGGATCATCAATAGTTCGGAGCATCTCGGCCTGTCTTGCCATTTCCGATTGCAAATTGAGAACTGATTCGTGCAGTGTTAGCTACCAGCTACGTGGACCGCAAAAGATGCAACTCACCATCCCGGTGCACTGGGTTGTCGGGACTAGGGACGAGACTGAGCACCGTCCTAGACAACTCTTGGTTGAATTGGAGGAGCCGTGACATTGTTTCCATCACCGCTTGCTGCTTAATATGCATGTAATGGGCATTCTCTTCACTTCTCTGCAGTCGCATGCTCAGGTCGTACAGCGTATGCTCGAGCCCAGGCATACGCATTTCGGAGCCATCGCTCGGGGGAGGCATCGGTTCCGAAGGCGTTCCGGGCTGCGAAGGGCTGGGCTTTGAGTTGGGATACTCCCGGTGAACAAGAGCATGACGTGAAGCTCGCCGTTTGATTTCACGGAGTCCAACCAGGTCGCCTCGCTTGAAATTGCCGTTTCCATGTTTGAATTCCCACAAAGCGGTCTCGGGATTTGTCGTGTGGAAAACGTCGCTCACTGTTGCCTCAATTAGCATTGGACATTTTGTGATCAAAGGAGATGCTATCGAACCTTTATGAAACCCATACATGTTCAATTGTCTGACGAAAGAGGATATGTTGGTGTGTTTGAAATATTGTCTAGTCGATAGTGAGTAGGTGAAGGACATATTCGAAAGCGTGTTCACCTACGCTAGAACCTTGGAAAAGTCCGCGGACGGTGACATAACGAAGCTTTCAGCACTCGCTGACCATGATATCAGATGCTGTATGCTTGGGTCCTCCAGCATGCTGAACGGTGTTAGCTATACTGCTACTGAACATTGTTCTAGACTCCTGCTCACCTGTACAGCTTATGTATGAAAGCTGTCTGCACAATCTTTGGCTGGTGCACAGCCGCGGCCGCAGCTGCGGGCGCGGCGGGCATGGCGATCGAGTTGTTCGCAGATTGGTCTGTAGGCGAGGTGTGCTTGGATGCGCCGTTGGCATCCGTATCGTTGTGCTTGCTCGAAGGAGAGGTCGTGCTGGCGTTGTTGGAGGAAGTGATCTCCATAGGCTCACCGGGAGATGGAGCAGACATTTGGATGGTCGGGGTCGGGGTTGGGATAGGTACAATGCGATTCGGAATCAGATCGGCATGACCGTTAGCAGGCAGAGGAGCTCTCTGCGGACTCTCAGTCACTGTGGCCATCCCCTCTGTAAGACGCAAGAATCCGGTTAGCTCTAGAGACAAGGGCGCAATGAATTGCGAGGAGAACGCGGTTTTGGGAATGGCAGGGAAGACAGGAGAAAGAGTTGGAGCGGTATCGAGGCGGTCGCGGTGGGTTTGAGGAAATGGTTGAGGGGCTTGTCTCACCTCATGGCTTCGCAGAACGGTATAGGCGATGCGGGCGGGTTCTGCAGCGATGCGCGCAGAGGAAGACAATGGGATAGGTCTATCGCAGGAGGTATGGGGTTGGGGTGGCTATCTGGAATCGATTCTAGTGTCGAGTGGTGCCTTTGAGCCCTTTGGCAGCTTCGCGAGAAGGCTTCCTTTGGCTAGGATTGGCGAGAAACGACAGCAATGTTGGTTGAAGCAGGCGAGCGCGAGTGGGTGAGCGGTTTGGGGATTGAAGCGTCCAGCCGTGGTTCGGTTCTGCTAGCAGCAGGTCTCTGTTCCAGCTGCCGACAGGCTTCCAACGTCGGGGGATTGCTAGGTAGAGGGATGGATCTGCTGGAATGCGTCCAGATTGGCAGAGTTGAAGAAAAAGGTTCGGGGTGTTCTTCTCGTCCAGATGGGTGGCGGAACTCTCAGCGAAATACCTAGGGATACGGGATGCGGGATGCAAGAGAATGGAAGTGGAAGTGTCGAAGTTCTAGAGTTCGAAGAGAAGGAGAAGGGTTTCCGAAGGCCAGGGCCGCCGGAAATATGACGACGAATGAGGGACAAGGACGAGGGACTGGGGGTGGGTGGTGGTGCTGATGGTGGTGCTTGTGCTGCTGCTGGCGAAGGTTTAAAGTGGCTCGACTAGATCGATAGTCGGTTGGATCTGCGAGGACACCGGAAGAAAGAAGGCCTGATTAAGGAGAGCAAGTGCCACAAGAATTGCGGGATGGTGTAAGGTAGCGTGTACTCTAGACTGTGATTCAGCAGTCAGCTTCTGAGTGGCCCCGTTCTAATTGCGGCGTCGATGTGTCAGTCGGTTGGTAAACCCAATGCTTCAAGGTACCTTTTGTCGTGTTTGGGTCAAGGAGCAAGAGAGGGAGCAAGGACAGTAGATAGCCGAAGAAGCATGTGTGGGAGAAGGAGGCGGAGTGTGAGCGACGAGTCTCTATTGAGCCCAAGCACGGTAATAGTATCCGTAATGAGAGAGAGAGAGAGAAAAAAGGAGAAGGCGAAAGTAATAGAAATCGAAAAAAGGGATCTCAGGTATCCAATGTCAAATGGCCGAAAGTGGGAGAGAGAAGGAGGGAGGTGTGGCGCCCGTCCCACCAGCAGCACCAAGTGAGGATGTTCAGAATGTTCAGGTCGGGGAAAGTGTCGTTATTGATGGAAGCTTGCTGATTGGGCTGAAGGAGGGGGTGGGAGGGCATCCGCGGGCGTGTGAGATGGACGGCCATGCATGGGGCGGGCCCAAGTCGCTTTGCCTTGCAGCAGCAGCAGCAGCAGCAGCGAATTTTAGGGGTACGAAGTACCTAGGTACGAAGCACCAAGGAGAGGACGGGAGAGCTCCTACTCGGTCACTGAATTCTTCTTTCCCACCTTCACCTCGGGCAATCACACATTCCGGTACGTATAGTACCTTAGGTACCCAGGTATCTTACCTAGGTACCTCACTCAGATATGAGATATCTCACTCCAGGTCTCTCACTCACGCACAAATACATGGGACGTATTTGTACAAAGGTATACACGTGCGCTATCTTTGCCTATCTCTCTCTCATCTCACTCACACACGCATACACATGCTGCTGCACACAACAGGGCAGGTGGCACGGCAGGACAGACGATGTGGAATGGAAGATACCGTGGAAGCTCAGGAGAGAAGGGGGAAGGGGGTGTCCGGTCCCCGCCAGCTGAAAATGGGAATGGACAGGTGGGAAAGCAGGAAAAGGTCACATTCAATCCAATGGGTGGGTGGATCTGGCTGGAGGGGGGGTCGTCTTCTCCTCGCTGGGATCTCAAAGCGCACCCCCTCCCACAGGTAGGGAATTAGATGTGGGTGCAGATGCTGGGGTCCCTGGTGGCATTCTCCGGAACAGGGTCAAAGGAACAAGGTTAAGGCCGATGGATGAGCTGCCAGCCAGTTACTCAAAGTCTCAAAGGCTTCTTCTCCTGCATGTATCATCCCGTGCCTCTCAGTATGGGCGAATACACCAGTATTGTATTCTTGCTCTGGTCAGTCTACGCACGTCGAAATGGATAGCGCCCGCCGGGATCCCGTACCGCTCAGAGTCAGATTTTGGCTCGTCTGTCTACGTAAGGTAAGGTAAAGAGGTAAAGAGGTAAAGAGGTATCTCTGCAGCTACAGTACCTACCTACGCCATGAATCTGAATCGAAGAGGCGTTGAAGCCCCGTCAAGATGAGATGAAATGCAAGTCCTGATGTCTGAACCCCTGACGAGACTCTTTCCAAAATGGGCCAAGTTTGCTTCTTCTTTGCCGGGTCTTTGCTATCATACAATTCAAATTCACGAAACGTCAAACATGATGATGAAGTACACTGGCAGGCAGGGAGGGAATTGCCATTTCCCCATCCTCCAGACAATAGCCCAGACGTTCGATCGGCGAAGCTCTTGACGCTCTTAGTCACAGTCATTTGCTGATGCCCACCAGTCTAGAGGAGCACAAAGAGCTTCAGCCGCACGATGCCCTGAGCATCAAAGAGGTACATGACACCAGATAGGCCATGTCTCTTACCACTGATAAGAATGAGAGTCCGCAACTGTGTCGTACAAACTTCGACGCCAGCCAGAGATATGGCAGAGAGAAAGGGCAACGAGTGACGTCGGATCAAGTACCCTGCGTCCAGTCTAGTCCGCGCCTATCTGTCCTTGGCTGCCGTTTCCTGCCCTGCTAGGTGTCCCATCGAGTACCTATGCATACAAATAGGGAGCACCACAAGGCTTCTCATATTCGACTCCATATCTCCGGGGTCTGGGCAGCACTCTCTGCATTGACAGCCGCATGACTGCAGGTCAACCACTACATGAGGTTGCAGTTGCTTTGGACATGAGGTTCGATTGACAGTTTGAGCCATGATGAGCGAGCTAAAGGTACACTACCTTGGGCGTACAAAAAACACGGCTCGGTCTCTGGAGCGCCCGCCCGTAAGGAACCCTAAGACCGCCGGATGTTGGACCGTCGACTCGACTGTGTTTTAGCAACACGTCTTTCGCCCAGCCGCTGGTCGGAGCCGGCGTCATGGCATCAAGTGGATGGTCCTGGCGTACCTATCTGCCTACCTAGCTGCACGTCTGCTTCTCCCGTGCTTTGGAGCTCAATACGCAACTCTCGACTTACAGTTGCCAAGACACCAGCCTGCGTCGGAAACATTACACCAAGAGGCGCCCACCAGACAATGTATTTCGTTATAGCAATTCTCTCTGATTTGTAAGTTTTGGATTTTTTTGCCAGCCAAGTAAGTAGAATCGTGCCTTTGGCAGCTACCATTGGATGTAAGGAAGGGAAAAGTATTTGCATCTCCCGTACCAGTCAAGGCAGACTCTACCTAGGCAGGTAGGTATCTTAGTGGTTCAGTCAAGTACCCACGGCAGCAAGCAAAGGAAGGTGAGGTAAGGTAGATGGAGATGCGTACCTGCCAACTTGATACCTAGGGGTAAGATGATATTGGGAAGGGTCAGCACAGGGCACCTTCTGACTGGCCTTGCTTTTCCTTGCCTCGTGTTCTTTTCCATTCGTTAAACAGACAGTCAGACACCACCGGGCTCGACTCTTCGTTGCATGTGGCCTCGATTTCTATTTGCGCATTCCATCTCCGGCCCTTTTTCTTTCCAGCTTCGTTTCTTCGCCGTTCTTTCTAACTCGATTGAATGCCATTTACAGGGCCTGGAGCTGAAGCTTGAGCGACCCTTTCACTCCTCCACATCTTGAACAAACGCATCTCAATTTCATCCACCGCCCTCCCTCTACCTAGTCGTTTTCTGGACCGAGCTCTTTTAATTTCAACCGCCTCCTCCAGTATCAGCCTGGACGTAGGCATAACCGATTCAACGTTTCTGTCAATTTCCTAGCATGTCGCCTTCGGATACACCATGATATGCACATCATGTATTTGTCCACCTTTTCCCGTACCCCCTGAGACCGTCCTCTCCACCCTAAAGTCCGTTTTTTGCTTTCTTTTCCCGTCATTCGATCCCCAACTCCTCGTTTCTCTGACACGCTGTCTCAGTCGTGCAGCTCAAGATCTCTTCTCCAATCGCCCGGTCCAGGAAGCTACGAGATTGCCATCTGCGACAATCATAGCCTTTCAGCCAACCCCGTCTCCTCGATGCCTAGATGCGGCCGCGACCAGGAGGGGTGTGGGTGGGGAAGACACTATCCCAGCAAACCAAACCCATCTCCTGCTGAGAATGAGATGCGATACCCAAACCTACAAGGCAGACCCCCAGCCTCGATAGCTTCTAGCCGGCTGCAGCTAGAGGGTCAGTATCAAGTTTCGATCGACCCAAACGAGAGGCATCATTTTCTTCCCAGTCCTTACCACAACTACCACCCTTTAACCATCATCACCACCACCACCATAACACAGAACCAAACACTAAGGGCACGCCAGGACCCTGCAAGCCGTGCAGGCTGGATCATGCTGCTACCGAGATGCTCTGTGCTTTCTTTCTGCTTCAACAGCTCCAGCTTAGCCTATCCGTTGCTCAACTAAAGCATCCGGTTCGTTGACTACATGTCACGTCTGTGTCCGTTCGACGGCAGGGAGACGACAAGCGAAACTGGCGGGACTCTTACCGAGCCAAAGGTCCCCAAGCTCCCCGTCCCAGGGCCTAGTCCCCCCGGGCACGAGCAGATGCTTTTACAACTGACAAGCCAGTCGGGAGCTGCGTTGCTTTCCCAGGAGTAGTGTTAAA